GCATGGGTATGCAAGAACTTTCTTTACAGCAGGGCTTACAAGATGTTTCCAACTGAATTGATTCAAGCTATTAAGGAGGTTTAAAAATATGTTGCTGGAATTGAAACTTGGATATTTTAAAAGGCCTTAAATACACTCAAATAATTTTACTTTTTTTTTCCATTTGACAAGTGTTTAAGCTTGAGATCTCTGATGTGAACGACTGGCTTGAGAGTTAACTTCTACAAATAGTACTACTTAGGTCCTCGGTTTGATTTTCTCATTTTAATATGTCCATTGCATCTCTTTCAGTACCAAAAGGGGTAAAACAGGCACTAGTCATGGAACTCCCTTTATGTGAACTGATACATATTTTGAATAATTAGAAAACTTCAAAGGTAAGGTGAGTCTGTGAGGTACACTGATTACATGTACAATTTAGTGATTTCCAAATGGTGAGAGAATAGAGCTGGAAGCAGAGCAGGGCAAGGAAGAAGGGAGGCGGTGGTAGGAAAGGGCAAGGAGTAATTGCTTAGTATTTACTTGCCATGGATTTTATGAGCAGTTGCAGTTTATCGTTGCTGCAGCATAACTGCTGTTAGGTTTGGGTTTGTTCTCAATTTTGTTTTCTGTTAAATTATTGGCAAAAGTTAGCTGTTACGTGAAGAGAGAGAAGCAGGAAATGGCAGTGAATGAGCTCAAGCTGCTTATAACAGTGTGTGCTTTATTTAGAGACTATGGTATCTATAATGTGGGAGTCTGGAAACCCATGTTCAAACTGTGACACCAGCAGAGCGTTCTGATCTGGTGCTGTGGCCACCGTGATTTCTGCATGCTGACGTTTGCAGAATGCAGAGGTTAAGGTGTGCTTTTTCGTCTGGGTTTTGTTTGTTGTTTTTTTCTCTTGGTTAACCATTCAGGGGAAGAATCTTTAAGCTACAGTCCTTCATGTCTGTTTTCTTTCACTTATATGTAATGCTAACAGGTGGTAATTAAATTATCATTTATTGTGAATATATTTTTTTCCAGATGTTTTCAGAGTCCTTTTAGATAGATTTGTCAAGTGAAAGTAATTAAATGAAGCAATAGTTTTAAGAAAGAAATATAGGCTTTCTGGAGTTAGCACACTGCAGGAGACTTTATATAGTATCTGGAATATCTTCTTTCCTGAAGCTTGGACGGTTCACTGAGTATAGTATGCTAAGCACTATTCTAGCCTCACTTGAGTGATATCTTCTATTACTGGTAGCATTCCTTTTCTTTATTCAGTAATTTTACTAGTGGGATATTACTGAATGTTCAGAATGTTTTGGTCTGTAGTAATTACACAGTATTTCAGTGGGTAGAACTGAATCACAGTGTTTACACATGCAAACGCAGAGCCACGCTCTAAAGTATATGCATCTAACACATCTGTGCTTTAAATATGTGTCTCCATTTAGCTCTTTAAAAGATGTATGCAAAGTATCATTATGCTATGGTCGTGTCATTTTAGCAAAGACAGACAAATGATGAAAATGCACAGGGTGTCTCTAACAACTTGGTGAAAATAAGGATATGGTGGGTTTCTTTCCCTGGGCTTTGCTGTTCTTGCTTTCCTTATTAGCGATAGTAAATAGACAATGAGATATGTGCTTCAATGAGCAGAAAACTTTATTACAAATATGCAAATGGAGGCTATGCTTCAAACTAACCAATAATTATGTGTTGGTGGCCAGCTTGGCTGCAGATAGCCTTGTGTTGTTTCATCTCTTCTCATATCAGAACTGAATTAGATTGTGAGAGATAGGGGAGCTCTGCCGGTTTTCTGCAGGTTTAGGTTATTTATGATGAGTAGACATATCTCCACTTTGTTTTCTCCGTTTCTTAGGTTTGTTTGATTTTGCCCAGCCTTTGCTAAAGTTCAAAGAGGTTCATTGTGGAAGTGAAGAATTCTAGTTGTCTGTCAGGCCTAATTACTTTCCTTGATACGAAAATTTCTTTCCCTGGCATAGTTTTAGGAATTATCCACTAACAAAAATACCCACTAGCAGAAAAGTTTTTTCCTGCTTTACTGGGGGAAAAAGCCCAAGGAGGAACCTAGAAGACTCTCTTGTTGTTTCTGCTAATGCTGCTTGGTAATAATTGTGTGTAATGGAAATGTTAACTTCCCTAGTGAGAGAGCTTTCTCTGGGTTGTTACAGAAGTGGGGACAAGATCAAGGAAAATGCTGTTGGCACTCCACAAGTGGCACTAATGGTAGTTAACATTTGTTGTCATGCAGCTTTTAGTGGTGTCCATAGTTTCACAGACATTTGTGCTGTTTCTTGTGATGCCGTGAAAAGCCAGAATTGAAGACTCAATAGTCGGCAGACTATTAAGCGGGTATTCTTTATTGCAGCGCCGGGCACACGGGGGATCTCTCCTCCAAACGTGTGCACCGAAGAGACACAGTTACTAGGTATTTATGCTATGTTAACATACATATTCATTACATTTGCAAGAAATGTTTATCATAGTAATGGCTTTTCCGATAACCCATTAATATATGGTAATGTCCGTCGCATATGTTTGTTTGGCGTCTCTCGGCAGGGGTCTTCAGATTATCCTGCAGCCTCCTTATCTCTGTAGTTTGCATACCTGTTCTCCCAAGGCCCAGGCGCCTAAAGGGATTATTCAGGAGTCCCTTGTCTTGCAACCGTCCGAATTATTCACAAAGAACCAAGACTTGTTTCTGACCACCTGAAGTGATAACATCTCCTACATGTTACATGTGTTACTTTTACAGTTATCACTTGATAACATTGCAATCAAGATGTTGAGTCTAACATATGAATTCATTGTGCACACTTCTCTCTTTCTTCTCCGGTGTATATATGAATTTATATAATGACTGTCTAGTAAGGACCTGTATAGTTAATCTAAATTCCACAGATCGCTCTTAAATCTAATGCATTTCTGCATAAACAAGTGTTCGGCTTTTTGTTTTTTTTCCAAACTAACTTTATGTATGTTTGCCGTTGGCATCATGGATAGGAGGCAGCCCATGTTTCAGGATGTGGTATCATTGTGTGTTTATCCCCATTCCCCCTAGAGATTGCATGTGTGTCTTCCTTTTTATACCAGGCTTGAAAAAAATGGGATTTTTGGATGGAGGTGAGCTGGCTGTGAACTTACTGTGCTGAAGTGAGACTAATGCTCGTGAGGATGGGGGGAGCACTCAAACACAGCATGGTTAGGGATGCATTGCTGTGTGTGAGTCAGCGTAAGAAAAACGTTCTGTAAAGGTGCAAATGAAAGTGAGAAAGCATGCATGCAGCTTTAAATTTTGCACATGTGTTGCAATCATCTGTTTGCTTTCCTGGCAGTGTTTCTGAAATGGCTTCTGTGAATTCAGGAGGTCACAGCAGTTCCTGCTTGCTATTTTACACGTAAATGTTTGGGTGCAGTGACTGTAGGCAATCCACAGTATTAGATTTAGTACTTGAGGAGTAAATCCATAGTGTTAAATTTAGTACTTCACAAAATTAATGCACAATTTAGATACAGTTAGATAAAATCATTGCTCAGATTCTTGAAAGGGATTTGATCCAGGTTTTTTCTTCTAGCTATTGCAGCAACAGGGCAAAATTGATGGAATCTATCTTGGGGGGGAAAAAACACGCATTTAAAATTGAACCTGTTTTATTTGTCAATGCTATGTTCAGTGTCCAGCTCACTGAGGGTTAAGTTGCTCTAGAAGACTGAGATGAAGTCTTCTGAATTTGGACTAGGGATAACAGAGCACTTTGCATTTTCTTACTTCAGTGCTTTAACCTTCTAGTGTCGTTGATACTCAGAAACAATTTTCACATTTCATGGCTGTTTTGTAGCCGAGAGAAAATTGCTGGAGGTTCTGGAGATGTGTCACTTTGTTTAAAGCTGTTAGCGGGAAACTGAGCAGGAAGAAAACTAGAGAGTTCTGTAGCCAAAAATCTCTACGAAGAAGCAAAAACAGGATGGATATAAAACCAGCTCTCTACTTGTTATTTTAGAGCTTGTTGTTCATGAAGACTGACTTCCTGCAATTGTTCCCAAAACCGATGCATGGTGCATTTTTTTAAGAAATAAAAATGCTGGAGGATTTGGCTTTCATGGAAGAAGGGCTTTATTGATTTCAGACAGTAGGGAACAAGCCCTGTGGATTAACACTTAAAAGGCAGTTATCACTGGCGTTTAATGCTTTACAGAGTTACTTTTTCTTCCCTGTGTGGTAAACAGAACTTCTAAACGGTCATCTCCAGTAGCTTTATGTCTGCCTTCATCATGTGGTACTCATCACAGAGGTTAAAGCTGGTGTAATCTTTGGCCTTTCCGTACCAGGCTGTGGTGGTTTAGGCAGTGTTTCTGTCTCCCATAACGTAGCAGAACATACTTGTTGTTGCAGTGAAGTTGGCAGAACTTCAGATCTTTCAAACGAAAGTTTCATGCGAAACGTGTTTTCTAAAACAACTGTTTACAAATACTAGGGAACCTGCTAAGAATCTGCAGCATCTGCTCAGTACCAACGTTGTCCCAAGATTGGGCCTGGGAGGTCTTACGGATGCGTGAAGAACTTGCTGTCATCTCGAAGTCCGGGGTGCTTCCTTTCAGGCATGCCTACCTGTATGTTCAGGACAGTCAAGCAATGCTCGGAAAATTAAGTTGTCAGACTACTAATTTTGAAACTTTATTACTGTAACTTTTTGGAATAAAGGGACACACAGTTGCACTATAATAACAAGAGTCCCAGTTGCACTAAAATGAGAGGGACTGAAGACTGGCGTTGGGTCCTTGTGTACAGGGGAGCATGCTCCTCAATAGGGGTTGGTCAGCTCCACTGGGTGAGCAGACCTGACCTCATGTAGCTCTGCATTTGACAGTTGTGTCTTATTCAAACGCATAAAGTTGGTGAGAGTAACAGATTGGAGTAGGATCAATGTGTTTGCTGCAGAAGGTTAGGTTAAAGAGTAACAAATTTGTGTGAAAGACTCTTACTACTTCTGGTGGTATCTTTCTTGCAGTTTTGGAACCCTTGTTGCGATTGGAGTTACTGTTTGTGCAGTGATTGTAGTTACTATTATTCTGTGCCTCACCTGTTCCTGTTGCTGTTTGTATAAAGCATGTCGAAGACCACGGCGTAAGTACCTGTGTATTTTCTTTTTCACATATTTAAACAAGACTTTACTTTTTTTATTTTCCTGGAAAACTATGTTCCTATAAAAGGTGAAAATAGTCTTGCCTTACCTCTCTACTACAAAAGTTTAAATACCTAAACATTAAGCATTTAAGCTGGTTCAGAATGGGAAGTTGCAGAGAGATGTTTTGGAGTATTTTGGGGTTGGGGATTTTTGCAGGTTTGGGTTGGGGGGGGTCTTGTTTGTTTAGGTAAGCAGGGGATGGAATAAAATTTTAAATTTTTCCCAGTCTCTTAAAGATACACCTGAATAATAAACCAAAGGCCCTGGACTGCAAGAGTGTGATCTTACTGCAGTTTATTAAAAGTGTTAATATTCCCTTAGTCCAATAAGAGATATGAACCAATGATCCAACATCAGCTCCCGCAAAAATCGATGATTTAGTCTGTATTTGCCTTTCTGGCTGTTATTTAGGGAAGCATCTATTAACACATGGATGTATTAGTGTGTAGAGAACATATAAAAGGAAACTCATCTGGGCAGTCGTGGTAGAAAGCTCCTTACCTAATAAAAGAGATCTGTATCACCTGAATCCTTAAAAGCAGGTAATATTTAAAGATGAGCAGTTTTTTCTGTCTCATACCACATGACAGATAACTTGGTTGCCAAAAAAATTCTTTGATCTCTGTGGTTGAGAAACAAGGAGATAAGTTGGCTGCTGTCCCAGTACATGAAGGCTCTCATCACCAGAGGTCAATGGAAGGATATTTAGAGGCATACATTTCTAAACCTTTTGTGGAACTCTGAAAACGAAATTGCCCAGGTTTTGAAGTGAGAAATTGATCCTCAGAGAGAATGGTTTTTTACAGTACTGTTGTTGGCTGTCCCGGGTGATGTCTGAGAACTACCAGCACTAACCATGTTCCTTTTGCTTCTTTGTAGCTGTTGTGGCCACCACTACTTCCACTACAGTGGTTCATGCTCCCTATCCCCAACAACAGGGAGTGCCACCCAACTACCCAGCAGCCCCGTACCAAGGATATCAGCCGGTGGCTATCCAGCCACAACCGGGAATGCCGGTAGCGCCGTACCCTGCACAGTATCCTCCCCCTTACCCCATGCAGCCATCAGGACCCCCAGCTTATCATGAAACAGTGGCAGGTAAGGCAACATTGAGTGTTTCTTCATCTCTTAAATAGCTAAAGAGACAGTTGTATTGGAGCCCATCTTGTATTATTTACATTTACTATTTTCTATGACTATATTAATGTAAATGTAAACAAATTCATAAAGCTCGGCTTATGGTGGATGCTATAATTCACCCTTGCTGAAATTTCCCCATCCCCATTTCTATATTAAGCATTGCCAACACAGCTTAATGTCCCCTTGCAAAGTTTGGTGGTATGTGGGACTGTTGGTGGATTTGGTAGAATGTTTTACTAATTAATCTGAAATTTCATATTAAAATCAAAGTCCCAATTAACAGGTATAGTAGTTAGATGTTTCTACATACGCTTTCTAATCTAATGTTTGCTAGATGTTTTAATCTATATGCAGATGGCATTTTCTAGTAGTTTGTCACTGTGTTTCTAGAATAACAAGTCTCTGATCAACTTCAGATAAGTTTGTTGATCACTAGCAGTTAGAATTATTGGGATCTTTTTTGCTTCTGCTTTCCTTCTTTCACAGCATTGTTTTAATGCAGCTTTATTGTTACCGTTAATAATTCTCACTTCCGCTGGGAATAGCTGTACTCTGAACAGTTGGGTCCTGGCTGTTCAGAGAGGCCGAAACTAGGCTGTTATCTGGCCTAGGATCTTCAAACAAACCACGCTGTTCATCCTTCTAAGTAACAAGCAAAGTATAGTCCTGAATAGTAGATGATGCCCTTAGAAAGTAACTGTTTCATGGCAACTCAGATATAAAAATGGCTGTTCATAGTCTTAAGCATTTGTAAACCAGTTAGAAATTTCAAATTAACAATCTGCAAACCAGTCCTGCATGTAAAAATAGTGACTTGGCAGGTCTGTTGGCTTTATTTGTCTGTTGTAAACTCTGAAGAAGCTGAGCGTTTTATGGGATTACCCCAAAGCACTTTGGCTACATCTTTATCATGTGAGGAATCCAATAAACTAGTCATTTTGCTCCTCCTGCTCTTTGGTTTCTCAAACTGTTGCTGGTTTGTTAGTTCTTAATTTTTTTTTTTCTGGGAAAATCTCAAAGCACTTTCTATGTGGTCAGCTAAGAATGCTTCACAATGAGGGCTCTTTTTCTTTATTTCTCTTGTGTATTAAACAAGGGTCAGTCTCTTAATTAGGTCATCTGCAAGGAAGAGGATACCTTATCAGTCACAGAGGAGCCAAACCCACTCACTTTACACGATCAGCGAAAGATAACCACGTTTGTATGTTCCAGGGATCTGATCAGGTGCTGCATTATTTGAGCTAACTTGTGCTATTTGACAGACCTGAAAATGAAGATGCCACTTGAGAGCAGCTTGTCTCAGAATACTAGAAAATAAGGCTATCTTCTGAGCGATACACATCTAGTATATATGTCAAACTCTTTAATGTACTTGGTAGTGGTGGGACACTTTTTTCTCTCTTAACTTTTTAATTAACTCTGTGACATTTACCAGGAAAGCATTTTCCTTGAAGGAATCCTAAGATACTTTCTCTAGTCCTTTTACCCAATGTTTTTTTTTCACTTCTTGACTTACTATCAGGTATATGCTCTGCCTTCCACTGTTTTTTGGACCAGATATGTTCTGTTTTCTTCTATGTTCTTCCCTGAAGGCTAACCATGTGCTTGTTGCTACAATAATACACAAGTACATTTGAGCATCAAAAAACAAACAAATAAAACCACCACAAAAACAAAGGGTTTTTGTGATTTTACTTTTGAAATGCAGATGCTTTATGAGTTAGCAGAAACTGTTCTCAAGTCCAGTTAAGATGCCAGATAAGTTGAACCCCTTAACGGTGTGCTCAAAACACAAGTTGCCTTTATAGATGTAGAATTCAGAATGTAAATTTTACAAATCTGTTTTTTTTTCTTCTGTTTTGGTTTTGCAGTTGGTGCTGGAGCACCTTATCCAGTCAGCCAACCACCTTACAACCCTGCTTATATGGATCCTCAGAAGCCCACCTATTGAAAAGATCTTCTGTTATTCTTCTGCATACAAAACTTTTTAAAGTATAGTTTGTGCTGTTTACACCATGCAACTGTAGTATATTTTTCTGGAAGACAGCAGTCTTTTGTCTAAGTGAGAGTTAATTCAGTATCTTTTTTTTTTAATGCTTCGAATACAAGGAAGGAGTATTTTTCTTGCAGAAGTTGTCAATTTATACCTCAAGCAAATACAAAAAGAGATTTTGTTCTAGATACAACAAGAAAAGCATGAAGGAGGAGTGCTTCAGAAATAAGAACCACAATAACATTTGCTGTGTAATAATTTTGGAAGGAATGGTCCAGTGTGAGCATTAGCAGACACCCAAAGCTGTAGCAATATTTTGCACAGTATTAAAACATAAAAACTCAGTCTCTAAGAAACTACCTGATATGTGTTATGTATGTTCTGCCTGTTTTGAAGCTACTGTTGGTAGGTAAGCTACAATGCAATACATCTCATTTACCATTCAAAAGGGAATTTTCCTTTTTTTGAAACACATTTGCCTTCAGTAAGGGGTAGCAAACCATATTTAATTGTCTATGCACTAGTTGCATTTTTCTGTGCTAAATAGCATTTGTTCATAATTTCCTTGTTTTCTTTCACAATTTTAAGGCTTAAAAACTGTGCCTTCATTGGGTGTTTTCTCAGACCATTTTAATTTATAACTAGAAATTAACAACAAAACCAAACCTCTGCCACTTAGTAGAACAAATAGATCAAAATCTGAAAACCTGAATTCTTCACAAAAATTATTGGACATGTATTTGTTCAAGTATTATTGGACAAGTTTGCTTAAGTTTTATGTTGTTGAGTCTGGAGGAGAAATTAGCACCTTAATCATATGTTAAGCAGAAGTACCTGCCAGTGTTCAGTCCTGTGTCATCAGAGGGAAGGAATTTATTTTACAGGACAGATGGGATGTCAAAAATAGATTGGAGTTTTTAAATGCTTAGGGTTTGTCACTGTCTGTCTCTAGTGGGATCTGTAGATGGCAGGAACCTAGGGATGGTAGATCTTTATAAACTTAGTCTGCGTTTGGATAATAATATGGAGGGGGATAAGAAATCTCAGCCCAACATGCAGTAGAAATTAAACCTCCCTTTTGTCTTCAACATCGCCATAAAGCTGAGGAGAAGATGAGAAGTCAGGGAAAGGAAGAGTGGTTGGATTTGGTCACGGTGAGGTAGTTATTTTCAAGAAGGTAGTGCTTGCAGTCATGAAACATCTTGAGACATCCTTGTGACTATTACCAGTATTTGAAGGGCTTTTGCCTCTATACACCTTGTATTGATCAAGAAAATAATGATTTTTTTTTTTTGTGCCCTCTACAATTCTATCTTTTCTAACATTGAAATACAATTTGTTATTCCTCATTAGAGCTATATGGTCTGTTGTATGTATCACTGTGATGTAATTAGTGAAATAATTTTGACATATCTCATACGCTGATTTTACTTTTTTAGAGGCGCCACTAAGCCATTTGTCCTGCAATTCTGCATTTAGAGTATATTACTGTTTGAAAAACATTGATGGTGGCATTGTTTTACCTCCTATGAGGGATAGAAACCACTGCTGTCAAAGGCAGCCTTATTTCTCTTCCTGATTTTTGAATCTGTTTCTGGGTTATTACAGTTCTTTTTTTCAAGAAAGTCTTCTGGGCATTTCAGAAGAAAACCTGTAGTATTTTTTTAGTGTTGGGATTCATGACAACCTGTGTCCCTCTGTTACACCTCTGAGTGGTGAAGTGAGTAGCGTGAAGTGGTGCCCAGAGGCACTTGCAGAGCGTGCATGCCTGCTAGCATGGTGCTCAGAGGCAGTCGCAGAGCGTTCGTGCCCTCTGTCTGTGTGTTCCTCCTCTTTCCTGCTTCGTAAGCTGAGAAATGGGCAATGGTTCATTGCACTGTTAGGAGTTCTATGAGAACAACCGAAAAATGGACAGCATCTCCTGGATGGAGGATGAAGTGTTTCCCTTAAAATCTGGAATTTTTATGTGTGGGAGGGCACTGAATAACTGCAAAATAATTCCCTTGCTATAGATCCTACGTAGCCCTGTGTGTTGATTCATATAGGAGGAGGGCAGCAGTTGATTCATATAGAAGGAGGTATTCCAGCACCTTTGTTAGCGAGCGACCTGGATGGAGTCTGGCCAGTGAGATGCAGCCAGCGAGCACAGCTGCTGTGCAGCTCTCAGAGCTCTCAGAGTGCAGGTACAGTGTTTTAGTGTTGGGCTTCATGAGGTGGTAACTCTGCACCTCTCTTCCTTTCTTCCATCTGATGTGACAGTGTGCAGCTTGTGGCAGTGTTAGTAAGGTTTTGTTTTTGTTATGAAAGGAAAATCTGCAATTTGAGAAGTTGGCTCAATAGTCTGCTGTCATTCCTAAGGAAAAGAGAGTAGGAGAACAAAGTGGCAACAATGAGATGTCCCCAAATCTGAAGTTTTGGTGTGGATGTCATACAGACCAAATTGCCCTGAGCACCACTGTATGTGGAGCAGTGGGAGGAGATGAGGGATAGTGGTAAGGAGCCTGAAAATTTACACCTTTCCTTCAGTGAACATATGCCAATTATAACTATGTAGAAGTGAAGAGATGAATCGTTAATATAAAAGCAACTACTTTAGTAGTAGTTGTACTACTTCAGTTAAAAAACTCTTTGAAAGAAAATGGTCCACTTTCCTCACTCAATGATTGGAGCACCTAAGCAGGTCTTTTCTTACTGATAGTGTATTAATCGTTAACAATACAGTGTAGGACCAAATTTTATTCAGTTGTTGCCATGCAACCTGTTGGAACTTGTTTTCGTACAGTTAAGAGAATGGGATGGTTATAGAAAAGATGGAGAAGTTGATCCATAAACTTTTAGTTTAAGCACTGCTGATGTGTCAGTCCAAGTAGCTATTGGCTTCATGTCAAACTAGTTATCTACAGTGCTGTAGGGGAAGGGGAATGGAATGAAAGTTTTAAATGTGGAGAGTATATGTTCATATTTTTAATTCTGTAAGTGCCTTTGTTTCAGAAATGTTTTGTGAAAATAAATACAGTAGAATATTCTGTTGTACTGAATTTACTAGATAATCATTATTGACTTTGTTATATACTGTAACCTAGCTTTGTATGTTGTTTGTAGTTTAAACGTAAGTATTCAAAAGAAATGGCATAAACTCTGTGCACCTTTGTAATAAACGCAGTGTTTGAAGTATATTTTTATTTTGTTTTCTTGGCCTCAACTTGAGTATTATTTAGGAGTGTATCTTCATTTCACTTCTTTATGTTTGACAGCTAGTGTTACCGAGTATACTTTAAGTTGTATCATGAATACCACTTTTGGTAGTGGAGACTGAAGCCTAGTTGAAATTACAGGTCACAACGTAAAGCAAGGACAATATAAGCTCCTGAGTGATATTCTGACAGTATGCTTCAAAGCTAATGTAAAAGGATTGCTTCTAAGGCCTCGCCTGGCATAAGGAGTAAATTAAATGCATGAAGTTTGAATGCATTAGCTAACAAATCCCAACACATTTGAAAAGTCTAGTGTAGACAAGATGGTAGACTTCAAAGTTGTCTTGATTAAAGTTTAATATCTTCTCAACATGTATTTTGGCTTGTGTGTTGAATATCATGGCTCATTTATCAACTTGACCAGTTCAGCATGTGGTGAGCGATGCTTTCTACTCAGTCTGAAAATAATTCTGCTGAAATTTTTGTGTATTTTTGATAGTTTTTTAAAAAAATGCTTTTGAAAGATTTTATTTATGCCCCTGACTCTCATTAGTCTTTTACTTGAAAATATTTTCTTTGAGCAGGTCAAGCATGCTTTTTATAAGACACTAAGTAGTACTGAATTGCTTGAGGGTGTTCAGTATATAATTGTTATTACCTTGAATTGCCAGCTAAGTTTCCAATTAAGGATTTGTAGGATTTAAGAGAAAAGGTGGGGGGAGGATGGAGGACTGTGAACAAAACACCCCACCCCCAACTTGTCCTGAAAGAGTTGTTTATCATGGAATAATCAGGTAGTTTTGTAATGTTACTTCTTAACTTGTTGGAGTTTCAGCTGCAGCCTGACATTGTGTTACAAGTGAAACGTAGATCACTTCACTTTCAATTTGATTTCCTGTTTTCTCAACAGAGTTTCTATTAGTTAACTGGGGACAGCAGACAAAATGTGTGCTTCTAAAAACCTAAATCTAGAAAACAAATATAATTAATATTTGGGCTAGAAATTACACCAGGAAATTGCAGAATTGTTTCTTATGTTGTTGTTGCCACTACTTTTTAGTTCATCTGTTTTTTCTTTTCCTGTGACTTTTTAGCAGGTGGATCTGTGCAATATGGCTGAAATTGGGAAGTGACATGCAGAGAAGCCTCTTTCTGTTCTGAGAAAAGCTGTGTGCCTTCCCTTCTCTCTGCACACAGGTCTGAGGAACAGGAGCTAGTGTTTTGTTTAAAACCTTCAGATTTCATTTAACGAGCACGTAGGGTTTCAAAGGTACCTTCACCCTCTAAAATTGCAGCAAAATGTCGTTATAGGAGAGCAAGCTGTTGAAAGAAAAAGTTGAGAGTATGAAGTTCGGTGAGGAGTACTGCTTGTTATGTTTTTGTAACGTTGAATCAGCAGCTGTTTATGGTAGTGTGAATTTTTCCAGAACAAAACTTGGCATGCATCTTAAAACGCATGGCAGGCTTGTGTGGAGGAACTGGATGCAAAGGAGGGAAAAACTAGCAATTATTGCCAAACAAGCCATTATCTCCTATTTTTCTTTTTTTCCCTAAGATGGAAACTTAGTCTCATATCTAGGTATGTATGGTAACTGGCCAGGTTTGTTTTAGCGAGTGGTTTGGGGCCTGTTTTTTTCCCTCTGGTTACTGTTTGATCTCATCTACTTGTTAGTATAGCCTGTATCACAGGAACCTGGTCAGATGTACAGCTTTTAAGCCATATAGGAGGGGAAAAAAGCACCCAAGTTAAACTTATCAGAGGTG